CACACACACACACACACACACACACACACACACACGCACACACACACACACACATATATATATAAGAGGTTTATTATATGCCGCATTCTGTATTTCGTCGGTGTATTACAGTGTCTCGATGCGAGTCGACACGTCGGACAGGCGTGTTACACACCATACCATGTATACGGAACACACATCGTTCATGATTGTAATAGCAAAGTATTATAGTAAAAGAGAGGGAGAGAATGTTCCACTCTCTCGGCTCGTTGATGTCGTATGTGCCGTTAAATCGAATGTCCAGATTGCGGGCCCAGACGAGGTGTCGAAACGCGCGCGTTTCGCGCGCGCAAGACCTCGCAATCCGTTACACGTCGCCGCTTTGGTCCTTCAGACGGGCGTGCGCTGCATGGCCAGTTCATCGTCGGCGACTTCTTTCCGATATCGAGCTCGAAGCGCGGCGCTCTGTATCAGATTGAACTATCGGATGCTCTTGGCTCGTTATCGGGAAGAGCTCGCGGAACGTGAACGCTCGGTTTTGCGAAGCTGGAAAGAGAGCTATGTCGTGTTTTCTGCGAGGCGTGTAAAAAACCTGCTTGTCTAATCGAGACTGGTTTTCGATGTGTAGGAAGGGAAAGAAAGAAAACCAAGAAAGTAGGGAGAATCTTTATGTAGAACCGCATCATCTTTCCAGCTTGACTCCCATCCGAGACACGCAGCGCTCAACGTTCTGAACGTTCAACGTGAACGCTCGGTTTTGCGAAGCTGGAAAGAGAGCTATGTCGTGTTTTCTGCGAGGCGTGTAAAAAACCTGCTTGTCTAATCGAGACTGGTTTTCGATGTGTAGGAAGGGAAAGAAAGAAAACCAAGAAAGTAGGGAGAATCTTTATGTAGAACCGCATCATCTTTCCAGCTTGACTCCCATCCGAGACACGCAGCGCTCAACGTTCTGAACGTTCAACGTGAACGCTCGGTTTTGCGAAGCTGGAAAGAGAGCTATGTCGTGTTTTCTGCGAGGCGTGTAAAAAACCTGCTTGTCTAATCGAGACTGGTTTTCGATGTGTAAAAAAGGAAAGAAAGAAAACCAAGAAAGCAGGGAGAATCTTTATGTAGAACCGCATCATCTTTCCAGCTTGACCCCCATCCGAGACACGCAGCGCGCGTTGATGGCGAATCGTCGAAATTCTCAAAACGATTGTGATATTGATATTGCGAGCTCGTGGAAGGAGAGCATCGAGGGAGCAGTAAGGTTTCAAATGGCATATTGGTTTGTACGCGGGCACGCCGAGATTTAGCTTTGAAAATTGCCGACTTTACACTCGACGAATGGGCCGTTACTCATGTCCAACGATTCTTTTTATACTGCGAATAGAGCGAATGATTTCTCACCGCATACGATCGACTGCAAAGTCCGACTTGGTCGACCGCCACAGTCACGAACAATATTTTTCGCGAACGTCGTGGGTCCGTGCGTCGCGCGCGCGCGCGAGATTTGCCGCGCCGACCTACAAAAAGAAAAGTGACGGAGGGTCGACGGAGGGAATATTATTATCCGATCGGGAGTCGCGCGAGCATCGTCACGTCTCGCGCGGCGACGAACATGTGTAAATTAAAATATTGCAGGTAGGCTAGTAAATACCGTAGGCTGTACAGTTCACACACCGACTTACGCCTTTTCATTTTCGTCTCTCCTTTAGAAAGTGTTCGAAGTGCAATATTTTAGGCACAAAAGTTAGGGGAAAGAAATCGACTTGTTGACTATTTATTGTAAAGATAAGAAATAACAGCGTAGTGTTATACGTCGCGAAAATAGAGCCAATTCGTGCGTGCGCGAGACTATTTTATTAAAATCGATCATTTCTCTCTGTCCATGTCTGCAGTTTAACTGGATCTCCAAGAAAAAAAAAAAAAAAAAAAAAACTT